TGATGTCACTGATCGTCTGCAAGTCTTTGCCAACGATCAATATTACCACGTCGTCTGCATATGCCTTTATCCTAATTCCCTTCATTGTCAGAGAGAGGTCAGGATCGGGTTCATTACAATCAGCCACAGCAGAGGTGATAATACCCCTCCTTGTGGCGTGCCTCTTGTTGCACACTTTTGGCTGAGCTGTTTCCCATCTCCGATGTGATAGTCCTGTTCTCTAGCATTTCTAACACCCAGTTGATGGTTAATTGCTCTACCTTTAGTTCCTCCATGGCTTTTTGATCGCCTCTGTCTTTACATTATTGAAAGCACCCTCTATGTCTAAGAAAGCCACTAATGTGTATTCCTTATCCCTGAGGGATTTTTCAATTGTACCTACTACCGAATGCAGAGCACTTTCGACTGACTTACCTTTAAGGTATGCGTGTTGCTGCAGCACATTGCTTCTCAATATCTGTAGTCTCCTTAATATGTAGATCTATCAGCCTCTCTAGTGTTTTCAGTAGAAACGATGATAGGCTAATAGGTCTGAAGTCCTTGGGTAAAGAGTGGCTTGGTTTACCCGCCTTAGGTATGAAGACCACTTTTACCTCTCTCCACTTCTTTGGAATATGCCCCAAATATAGGCATTCCCGGAAGATCCTGGTTAGTAGGGTATTGATGCTCCTTGGAGCTTTTTGCAGCATGATTGGTGTTATTTCGTCCACTCCTGCCGACTTGTATGGGCTAAATGAACGAATTGCCCATGCTACCCTCTCCTCTGTGATGGTCCTGCTGATCTTCTCTTCTTCTGCTTCGTCCCCTGATCCATTGTCGTCTCGGCTCTTGCCGATCGATTTCGTTTGGTTCAGGGTCCTTGCAGCCAGGGAAGTGGGTCTCCATTAGAAGATTGAGGGTCTCGGCGTTGGATTCAGTCCACGAATCGTCTGGTCTCCTGATGTTGCTTGGTACCATCGGTTCTTTGACAGTACCTTCCTCAGTCTGGCCGCCTCGTTGGTGTCCCTGATGGACTCACTGAATTCCTTTACCGATACCCATTTAGCCTCTCTTATTTTCTTTTTTATATTCGTTGAAACACTTTCTATAAACGTCCCAACTTTCTTCCGTTTTCTCCTTTTGTGCTTTATTGTATAGCTTCTTTATTCCTGTCCTAGTCTGCCGTAACTCCGCGTTCCACCACGGTTTGGTGTTTTTACGGGGTCGGCTAACAGGGCATGAATTTTTAAAAGCTCTAATAAGCACTTCTCCTAATTTCTCAACCGTATTGTCTATATAGTCGCGATTCGATTTCTCCGGCATATGGGTTAGTTCCCTTCGCTAGAAGAATACCTATTCACGAGTTTTTCATATTTACTCCAGTCCGTCTTTCTAGGATTCCTATAGGGTTTAACAAGCGGGACTTCTCGTTTAATCCTAAAGAGTATTCTCCTATGGTCGGGAGAAGGATCTCTCCAGATCAACCCTCCAATCCTCGACTATCAAACCCCGTCCCTCCGTGGTCAAGGTTAGATCTAAAACTTCCTGCCTAATTTTATTTTGCAAACGTTGGCACGTTGCCTCTGTTGCATATAGTAAGGTTATTAGAAAGTATAAAATCCATTATTGACTCACCTCTTTCATTGATATCCTTGCTTCCCCATTGGACGTGATGGCCGTTGGCGTCACATCCTATCACCAGCTGTTGGCCCATTCTTCTGGCTTCTCGAACCAGATTTCGGACCGCTTCCGGCGGGGGATTCTCTTCGTCGTATGGCATGTATGCTGAGACCAGTAGAAGTTTGAACCCCTTTTGGTCCTCGCACGTGGCCACGCTCAGATCGTTTGTGCTGTAAATGGATAGCAATGTAAGCTTTAGTGCTCTTCTTGCTACTATACACGCTCTCTTTTACCTGTAATCTGTGGGTGAAGTAGAATGTATTCTTTTGACCTCAGTCCCTGGATTTTGTCTCTTGCGATCCATGGTTCCTGGACTAAGGCCACGTCCACCTTCTTTTCACTCATGAACAGCATCAAATCCTCCGTCGCGGCCTCACAGTGGTTCAGATTAATCTGAACCACCCGCAGCCCTGGTTGACTTGGTGCCATTCTTGTCGTTAGGAAGCCTCGCCTTTAGAGCCCCGAGACCAAATTTGATGCTTCCTTCCGATTTCCTCAAGCGATCTAGTGATGCCTCGTCAATGGCGATCACTATATCCCTTCCTTTCCGTTTGGACTGGCGACTGATGAGACTACCCTCCAGTCCTGTGTCCATAGGTTCTTATTTTGTCTCGCCAAGATCTTCATCGTTGTCTCATCCTTCTCCGGTACTGGAGGAGGGATCCATAATGAGATCGTTTTTCTTAGGGGCAGTTGCGATCTGGGAATGACTCTAGTCGGGCTCCTGGCCAGATGTCGTTGCAGTTGCGGATTACTTGCGTTAGGAAGTCTCGCGACAACCTGTTGCTGCAACCCACAACTTTGACACCTTTCTGCCATCCAGCCCCGTCGAAGATCACTTCCTCGTCGCTGCCTCCCTCCTTTTCGGCGATAGCCATCAGATCCTCGACTCAACCGCCATCCACCTTTCGGGCGTCATTTTGCCATCTAGATCAGCTCGATCAATGACAGCGACCTGACATTCGTCCGGCGAATCGAAGCTAGTCGAGGGTTTAGCCCTTTTTGCTACGTTTCCTTCTCTCCTCGCCAGACCGACCCTTTTAACCGGTATCTTTTCAGATTTTGGTTTTTGGGGTCTGCTGACTTTGGAGATTCCACAATAGCGTCGGACCTCTGAAGCCTTCTCACCGATTTGGAGGACGGCTTCTCCCCTTCCTCAGGAATCACCTCCATTTTCTTTGACTGTTGGTCAGCCTCGAATTTGGAGATTTTTTCTCTCGTTGAGCTTGATGAGGTTTCTTTCCCGTTCGGTCAAGTCTTCCTTCTTCTTCAAGCTCATCTTTTTCAAAAAGTCTGAGCGTTCCGGTAGACTTTTTTGGCCTTTTGGAACGCCGTTAGACTTTTCCTCTTGATGCTTTTCCCTTGGCCTGCGTCGGCTTCCGGATTGAGCAGCCCCTCCCTCAGGAGTCGGAGTCTATGGAGAGATCATCATCGTTGTCCCTCCGATCTCCATATTCTCCAGTCGAGAGGAGATACTCCCGGCGCCTTTGCTGCCTTGGGTAGCATTCTCCTGTGCACTTGTGGTGGCTTGGGAAGATCCAGCAGCCAAGTGTACCACTGCTGGATCACTGTCGTCGTGGAAAATGAGCCCCCCAGAATCCGAATGGGGCTCGGCCACCTCAGTGGAGGTGGGAGGATTTCCCAAAGTTGGGCTACCTCCTGGGGTAAAATGTTCCTTTCACACCCTTCCATATCGCCGGTTTGGTTGAGATGTTGTTGCACTCAGCTGCTCGAGTTCGATCGCATGCCGCGAGCTCGATGATGATGCAGTATGAGCTCTATTACCCAGCAGGCCATCTCTCCTACCCGCTGGGCACCATTGCTGCCGTTAGCCTACTGAGACGCGTCTATGTGCAATGACGCCATTCAGCGATTCCCATTCCACGCGAACGAGGACGCCGGCAGTTGGAATTTGTGGAACCCCACTAACTGTAAGAGGATTTGGTTATGGAAAAGTGGACATATTAGCAGAAATAGAAGTTGAAATAGAGATTGATCAAGCTAAAGCATTTACAAAACTTTTAGTAGTACCCGATAATTATCTTGATATTCCATTATTGTTAGGACAACCATTCACTGAACAGAAGCACATAGTTATTATAAAAAGAGGAGATCAGTTGAGAATATTTGAAGATGAGCATATTGAAGATCAATCGAACTTGACTAAAATACAAATACCAACATTACCAATGCAAAAAGTTAATTTATGGTCAAACGAAAAGAAAGTAATACCTAAAAATTATATTGGATTTTTAGAAGTATATATCAAAGACAATTTAAAAGAAGATCTGTATATTGAGTCGACAAATGATGAAAGAAGATGTATCCCAAGATGTGTAGTAGCTGTGAACGAAAATTTGCAAACATATGTACCAATCATAAATTTAAATAATGCTGACCTGTCCATAGATAAAAATGAGAAAGTAGCAAGAGCTGTACGTTGTTGTGAAGTTCAAGAAGAGAATATTGAAGTAAATAAAAATAATTTGGAGATTTTTGAAGAAAATAGTGAAGATAAGATAAAAAAAGAAGATATTCATATAAATGACCATATTTCTACAGAGACACAAATGAAATTAATAAAGATTTTAAATCAATATTCAGATTGTTTTGCCAACAGTCTAAAAGAATTAGGATGTACACCAGAATTTGAATGTAAAATAGAAACCACAACAGATCAACCAGTTACGTATCGTCCATATAGATTAAGTCATTCTGAGAGAGCAAAGGTACGGGAAATGGTAGAAGAGCTGAAGAACGCGGGAATTATAGTAGATTCAAACTCATCCTATGCTAGTCCAATACTAATTGTAAAGAAAAAGACGGGAGATGAAAGATTTTGTATTGATTATCGAGGCCTAAATAAAATCACAACGAAAATGGAGTTTCCACTACTGTGAATAATTATTTGTGCTATACGTGGCAACTGCGCAGTCTCTAATTATTTGTGCTATACGTGGCAACTGCGCCGTCTCCATACATCGTCGCATTGCGGCGGTAGCCGAAGAAGAGCGAGGCCCCCAGGCAGTAGTGGTGGAGAACTATCGATAGTCGGCACTATCGATAGTTATCGATAGTCAAGTAATTTACTATCGATACTATCGAATACTATCGATAGTTTTGAAAAATTTCGGAACAAATTAAAATAAGTCAGAAATAATAACAAATCACATACATTGCAATTCAGGAAAGTAGTATTTATTTATGTTACATGCCAATGTTGTTATCCTATCAAATAAAACTTTTGTGTTTAAGATCAAAATTTTGCCCAAGATAATTAAATTAGGTTAGGATAACAAGTTACAAAAAAAAACCAACAACTAAGTTACAAAAAAAGGAGAAAGGAGATAATGTAATTTTTATTTTTATCGAATATCTATTTACAACATTTATCAGTAAGCCAAACATTTTTTTTTATAAAAGTTAAAATATCTACATTTTTTGGTTTGAGCCTCGATCTTCTCTCAGTAGCAATCTGCCCTGTTGTACTAAATACACGTTCAGATTCTACTGAAGTGGCAGGAACACAGAGATATTTCAGGGCGCAATGGTGGAGGGGATGAAATTCAACTCCATTTACCTGAAACAATAATATTCATATTGAAAGTAGGCATACATATAAGAGAACTGTTTTATTAACTCACCTTCCAAAAGAGTAGCGGATCACTATCTTGGTTGGTATTTTGTCTTTCTAGATACTGCCTTTTAATGATTATAGCATCTACTTTCTTTGATCTGAGTTTCTGAGTAGCCCTTTCATTCATAAACGAAAATAAAGTTGATAATCTGCTCTTATCACATCCTTCACCACTGAAACTTGAAGTACTAACGTTTCCAGCAGGCTCTTCGCCTTTCTCTTTTTCTTCGCTTTCTTCTTTATTCAAAAAATAAATCATTTCCTGTTCCAAATATTGACCAGCCGCTTTAGCATTATCATTACTCCGAAACCCCTCCTGCTTAAATGTGGGATCTAGCAAAGTTCCCATTTGAGTCAAAGTTCGTTTTTCATAAGGAACCAGTCTTTTTTCAACTGAATCCATTAACTTTTGATACATCTCTTTCCCTTCGTCTGTTGCAATTTGGTTCGTTAATGTTGTTAGGCTGTTATATATTCCAAATGTAAGAGGAATAATTAATGATATGGTAACATAGCTAGAGCCTGACACTTTATTAGTTGCTTCATCAAAGGGTCTAAGTAAATTTTCAATTTCTTTAAGTATAGTAATTTCCTCAATACTCAAAGGGGGTGGTGCTTTTTTCACCTTTAACAATGTTCTATTTAGTGCTTCATTTGTTTTTAATACTCTCTTGAACATTTGATAAGCACTATTCCACCTGGTAGGTACCTCTTGGATGACTTTTAATGGGGTATCAGTATTTTGTTCACTTTTAAATATTTCTGTGGCAATGTTGCTACTTTTGATGAAGCGCACAATCTCCTTACACCTGTTCAAAATTATTTTCACCGGTGCCAAAGCTAAACTGTCCTGAACCACTAAATTAATAGTATGTGCATAACATGGAAGATGCTTTACTTTCAAAATATCACATGTCTTGGTCATATTAGAGGCATTATCAGTTACTATACACGTTATTTTTTTTTTTATATTCCACTCCATAAAAACATAATTTAGAGCTGAAGCCAGATTTTCGGACGTATGGTTTATTCCGTTTTCTATGGGTTTTGTTGACAAAACAGCTGATTTTAATGTGAAGTTTTCTGTAATAAAGTGACAAGTTACAGTCAAATAAGATTCACTAGTAAGAGAAGTCCATGAATCTGTAGTTATTGCAACAAACTGTGTACTCTGTAAAATATTTTTTAAAGCTTTGCATGCCTCTGTGTACATTTCTTTCATAATTTTTTCTCGTATTGTATACTTGCTGGGTATCACATACCTGGGATTTAGGAGGGTGACAAATGATCTAAACCCGGTATCATTTACAATATTATACGGTTGCAAATCCTGTGCCACCATTAAAGCCAAAGACCTATCAAGTTCCTTCTTTCTGAGGGAATTTGAATCATAGTGAGCTTCACGCCTGAAAAATGGGCTTATCGAACGATTACTTGATCTCGCTGAGCTTGAGGCACTTGTTGCCATGGTACCCTCACTGCTATTATTAGTACTTCTAACGAAAGGTTCAGCAATAAGGTTAGGGTGATATCGTTTAAGATGGTCATTCAAATTACTCGTGTTTCCACTAGTCTTATATTCCCGCCCACAATTTAAGCACTTTGCTAGTTTCTTGTCATTGGATTTTTTAAAAAAGTTCCACACTTGGGACATCTTTGGCTTTGGTCGCTTCCTCTTGGATCTTCCACAATTTTCATAATCTTTTTCATCCACAGATTGGCTTGATTCCAGGTTATCTATAGAAACTCGTCTCTCGTTACTACTTTCTTCGTCATCACTCATTATGGTATTGCTACTGACAGTAGTAGCAGTACTGGTACTGGTACCTACAAAGACAAACCACGGTAAAAATATAAATTTAACAAACTGAAAGTTGGAAACAGAGACAAAGGCATGATGATTTTCAAGTATTCAAGTTCCAACTTACTCGTTCCTGGTTTATTATAAAGGATGAACTTGTCCAATTTGTCCATAATTTCATAAGGCCCTTTTATCGGCAAGAAAAAATAAAAATAACTAACAAAATAAGCTATCCTATCGCTATCACCTTGCTATCACCCGTTAAAAAAGTGCAAGTCACAGGTGCAAGTAAACAAAAACGGAAACGAAGATTCCCCAGAAGAAACGATATCAAATTGTCAGTTGTCGTTGTCGCCATTGTCGGTTCTGTTATTTTCTTGACATTTCTTCTTCTTTTCACTCTAAGCCTTTGCTGCCGGGAGTGCCTGGTCTATAGAGGCGACTATCGAAACTATCGATAATATGTCCTTACTATCGATATAATTTCGATAGTTAAAACTATCGATACTATCGATAGTGCTATCGATAGTTCTCCACCACTACCAGGCAGCAGTCGAGCACAAGACGTTAGACCAAACGCGTCGTCTTTGTTTTTTAATTCGACTCGATGTTTTATAAGGAGACAATAATTTTTGTTTAGTTAGTTGTCTCAAAGTTTGTAATTTCAAGTGACAATAAACCGAAAGTATACAGTCCACTGAACATTTTATTTCGTCGATGGTTTATTTGTTTCCTTAAGCCAAGGGGAAACTACAACTACCAATAATTGAGGATCAATTAGATAGATTGTCTGGAAAAAACTATTATACATCATTAGATATGAAAAGCGGATATTATCAAGTACCAGTAGAGAAAAATTCAAGAGCGAAAACAGCGTTTGTCACAAGTGATGGTATATATGAATTTAAGAAGATGCCATTTGGGTTGTTGAATGGACCGGCCATATTCAGTAAGATGATTAACCATGTACTAGGACCTTTAAGATTTACAATAGCAATGGCATACATGGATGACATCTTGTTACCTAGTGTAACAGAGGAAGAAGGATTAAATAACCTTGAAGAAATTCTAATTGTGTTACGAAGAGCAAATTTGAAACTAAATCTAAAGAAGTGTTTCTTTCTAGAAGAAAATATTGAATACTTAGGTTATGAAATATCGAAAGGAGAAATTAGACCAGGAAGAAAGAAACTGAAGAGTGTAAGTGATTTTCCAACACCTGAGAATGTGAAGAATATCAGACAGTTTCTTGGTTTAACAGGATATTTCAGAAAATTTATTAAAAGTTATGCCATAAAAGCAAAACCATTAACAAAACTGTTATCGAAAAATACTAAATGGATTTGGGACCAAGATCAGCAAGAAGCCTTTGAACTTTTGAAAGAAGAATTGACAAGTACGAGTGTGTTAAGATTGTATGATCCGAAAGCATATACTGAAGTTCATACTGATGCTTCAATGATCGGACTAGGAGCAATTTTGTTACAAAGAGGTTCAAATGATGAAATGCATCCTGTTGCATTTATTAGTAGACAGACTACACCCGAAGAACAAAAATATCATTCAGGAGAATTAGAAACTTTATGTGTTACCTGGGCATTAGAAAGATTGAGAACTTACCTGATTGGAATACACTTTGTTGTTGTAACTGACTGTAATGCTTTACGCACTACCTTCACGAAAAAGAATCTAATACCTAGAATAGGTAGATGGTGTTTGAAATTATTGGATTATGACTATGAGATTAAACATCGCCCTGGTAAAAATATGGAACATGTTGATGCTTTATCGCGAAATCCTATAGAGGTGACAGAAGAAACAGATTGTGGAGAGGGAATTCAACTACTTATTACTCACCTTGATGAAGAAGATTGGTTGTGTGTCTTACAAAGAAAAGATCAACAAATCCAAAGGATAGCTGATGTATTACAGAAGAAAGAGCCTGAAAATATCGAAGAAAGGAGATTGTTAACGGAATATGAAATTAGAAATGGAAGAGTGTACAAAAATGAAAATGGAAATTTGAAATGGGCAGTACCTAAAAGAATCAGATGGAGAATAGTGCAAAAATGTCATGATGAACTGGGACATTTAGCATTAGAGAAGACATTACAAAAGATAAAAGAAAAGTATTGGTTTGCCAGAATGAGAAACTATGTAAAGGGTTATATAGGTTCATGTGTCAAATGCCTATATAATAAAACGCCAGGAGGAAGAAGAAAGGGATACTTACATTCCATTGATAAAATTGGTATACCTCTACATACAATCCATATTGACCATTTAGGACCATTTGTGACCAGTAAAAGAGGAAATAAACACATTTTAGTGATAGTAGATGGATTTACTAAATTTACGATACTTAAAGCTGTGAAAAGTACATCGTCTTCGACAGTAGTAAACATATTAGAAGATTTATTCTATCTAATAGGGAAACCATATCGAATCATTACAGATAGAGGAACAGCCTTTACTGGAAATGCTTTCAAGAAGTTGTGTGAAAGGAACGACATTATACGTGTTCAAAATGCAGTGTCAACCCCGAGAGCAAATGGACAATGTGAACGTGTTAATAGATTGATTACTCCGTCTATAGCATCGCTTAGTAACGTAGATGATGGAACAGATTGGGACAAACAAGTAAACAAAGTACAATGGAGCATAAACAACACTATACACCAAGCAACGAAAAGTACACCATATGGTTTATTGTTTAGTTTTGATCCTAGAGAAATACAATATGATCCAGTTGATGACGAAATAGAAAACGAAACACGAAATAGTAGTAGTATTGAGCTAAGAAGAAAGAAGGCTATAGAAAATATTTTAGAAGATCAAATGAAGCAAAGAGAAAGATATAATAAGAACAGAGTGAAATCAGAAGAGTTTCAACCAGGAGACATGGTCATGTTAAGAAGCGAAAATGTTACTGCTTCTGGAGATTCACGGAAGTTGATACCAAAATACAAAGGACCCTATGTAGTAATAGAAAAACTACCTCATGATCGTTACAGAATTGAAGATTTACCTGAAATCCAACGAACTCAGAGATTTTACCGAGGCGTAGCTGCCGCAGACGCCTTGAAACATTTCGATTTGACTCAAAACTTAGAAGATTCTGAAGAAGACGTACAAACAGACGAAACTGACAGTGAAGATGATGAACCATCCGACGACAATGTTCATAAGTCAGAACAGCATGAACCGAAGATGGATTCACAAGAAAAACGAAGCCAAGACGACTGTAGTCAGGTGGTTGATTACGAACCTAAGAGGATTAAGAGGAAGCCTACTTACCTTAAAGATTACTGCCTTTCCGAGGACGAAAAGGATTAAGGATGGCCGAATGTTAAAGACATACTATTTTTCATATTATCATATATATTTTTTATATTGTTATACATATTTAAGTTGGTAGCATTGATCGTGAAGTGGTGACCTCGGGTAGAGGGAGAGACCGCCATGAAATAATCAAGCGACCAATTGTTATAAATAAAGCAGTTTTTAATTAGTGTGTGCCCTTTTGTGTACCCCATTAGATAACTAGAAACAGTGAACTAAAGTGAACTTAAATAAAATCCAGAGAACAAGTGACTAGGGTTCTAGTTATTTAACATTTGTTAGAGGACATTTTATGTAACAGTTTTTGTAACACAATTTGAAGGGACGAATAAAAAAAATAAAACAAAAACATATTTTTTCTAGGTTTATATTAAAAATACAAGATAGGTAATCATCAAAAATAATTATGAACCAAATGTTTTTTATGAATATACAACTTGAACAAAAAGTTGTTTAGAACAATTTTTACCAAATTTGCAAAAATTTTAAATTGAAACGCGTAATTCAGTACAAGTAAACATGAAATATTGTAAACACTTATTTAATATCATTTTGAGTGTTAACGACGAAAAGGTCATCTGTCCGTAGCGTCTTTTGTCAGAATATTCGTATATTTAGTGTATTATATACCAATATTGTACGCAGTTTTGAAACTGACAATTAAATAAATCATATTAATGTTAACTAACCATAATAAATGAAATTTCACTAAATTTAAATTGCCCCCCGTATGGTTGAAAACAGCAAATTGATATTTGATTACTTATAGATTACCACCTATATACAAAATGACACGAAGACCTGGAATATATGGCGCCCAACTTGATTAGACCTTCTGCGCATGTTGACGCTCATTCTCTATCCCTTCTATTTCTCTGGTCTATCCATTCTGTAGCTACGGGGTATCCGTGAGAGGGGAAACGATATTCTCTAGATGTTCTTCGTAAAAAATTAGGCGACGCGTCCCATCAATAAAAAATCGACAAATTTGCAAATAGCCAATAAAATGAATGGGCGGAGCGATTAGCGGTGACGTACTCGTCAAGTCGACGTATAAAATATATTGCTGTTTATTTAAATGTTTTTTGTCCGCATTCCTTTCATAGACACAGATCCAGCAGACGTACTGTATAACTGTCAAAACCTGAAACTTGCAAAGTAAAACAATGAATTTACGCTGCTGAACTTATCTACGATTTTTAAATAACCATGCAGGTACATTTTTTAAAACTATATAGTTTATTATTTGGCATTACGGCAACATTTCTTAATGGAACATTAAAATCGGGACGTTTATGAAAAATCCGCCCGGACCCACCCAGACATAATAAAAATCCGGACACATCCGGATTAATCCGAGCATGTCCGGATTTTCACTACATCCAGTTGGGTCCGGGCGGATTTTTCAGAAGCGTCCGCATTTTAATGTTCTATTAAGAAAATGTCGCAATAATGCAAAATAATATATTAGTTTTAATAAATTTAGTTAATTAAAAAAATCGTCGATAAATACAGCAGTGTAAATTCATTGTTTTACCTTGTTTTATTTCGTAAGTTTTAAGTTTTGAAAGTTATAGGTAAATGTATGTTTTTTTTCAAATGTCACAAAAGTATTAATTTTAGCGACGTGATTGACAATATAAAAGAGTCATTTTCTAGTCTCTTCGCCTAGGCATAAAAGTAAATCACTTTTACGCCTAAGCACAAAAGTAAATAAACTGACATAAAGTGTTAAATTTAACGAGCGTAGCCATAGTTTCCCGATACATCAAGGTATTACTTTTAAATATTTTTATAATATTTGGAATGTTTGAAATTTTTTAAAAAATGATTTGTGGCGTTTGAAAAAAATAGCATGTTCGATTTATTCGGAGTAAAAATTATTTTTTGTGCCTCGCCTATAATGTCAAACGTACAGCCTTGCCATAAAAAGTATGATTTTTGCTACGAATAAAACAATATACTATTTTTGCTCTTATATCGCTAAAAAATTATGATGTTCGGATTTTTGGAAAGGCTTGCCCGGGGTGTACAAGATTTCATCTGGTAACCCTAGCACGTAACCCATATACAGTCCTTAAGGTGGTAACCCCATATTGGCCCCCTTACACGTTGGCCAATGCATGTACTAATACACTGGCCCACAAAACACATACACAACACTGGCCAATGCGTTGGGCCAACGAGTAGAGGGGACTATTGGTCTTGTTGCCGGTACTGGCTGAGTTGACCCAAGCATTAAGCATTATTTTTTCCGTCTGTTTCCTTCTGCACCAATCCGTTTGTTGTAGTTTTTTCCAAAGACCCCAGTACACGTTTGGCCAACTAGTTGGGCCAATGAGTTAGGCCAACGTGTACAGAACCACTTGGCGTTAATTGGTGATTGGCAGCCAACGTTGGTTTACAAACCGAACGTTGTCGGTTTTTCGTGAACACATCAAAGGTCCTTGGCGCGATATACCAAACAGCGTTTACCATAGCGTTTACACGTTGGTCGTTGGTTGAGACTTGTTTGTGTTTCGAGTTGCTATCGGAAGGAAGTACAGCGGACAAAAAACATTTAAATAAACAGCAATATATATTTTATACGTCGACTTGACGAGTACGTCACCGCAAATCGCTCCGCCCACTCATTTTATTGGCTACTTGCAAATTTGTCGAAATTTTATTGATGGGAGGCGTCGTCTAATTTTTTTATGTTTGGTGCACCAAACCAAACCAAACCAAACCTTTCTATAAAAATTGAAAGCACTGTACAAATAAATTGCCGCGGCTGCGATGGTTTCCACATCCATCCTTCTCGTCTATAAATGGCCAATGCAGACTGAGCAACTTTACCAACGTGTAAGCACTGTACAGTACGTCTGCTGGATCTGTGTCTATGAAAGGAATGCGGACAAAAAACATTTAAATAAACAGCAATATATTTTATACGTCGACTTGACGAGTACGTCACCGCTAATCGCTCCGCCCACTCATTTTATTGGCTACTTGCAAATTTGTCGATTTTTTATTGATGGGACGGAATTGAGGATGATTTACGAAGAACATCGAGAGAATATCGTTTTCCCTCTCACGGATACCCCCGTAGCTACAGAAGGGACAGACGTACTGTACGTATTTTTGGCCCAACTCATTGGTCCAACTAGTTGGCCAAACGTGTACTGGAGCCTCAAGACACATCAGAAATGGCCTCTCTATAGGCACGTTGGCCAGTGTGTTCGCTAATACGCTGGTCTGTGCGTTGGGTTAACGTGTAGAGGGGACTTCACAAAACACATACGGGGACCATAGACAAATGGGGACTTATGGACCTCTTGGCTATGGGTATACCTTAGGAGTCCTAAGGTATAGCCACGGCATATAAAGGTTGTCGCCCACTAGACCGCTGCGCGGCGCGGCGCTGGGAAGAGAATTTTTTCCGGCTGCGAAGGAACTGCGCCCACTATAGCGCGCTTTTGAAACGCGGCAACGCTATTTAGTTATAGTCGAGGTGTTTTTTACTTACTGTAGTTTAGTTTTTAAAGCAATGAGTTCAAGTACGGACGAAAGCGTATTTTTTGTGCTCTTCTAACAGAGGAAGAGGAAGAGGGGGTGAGGAAAAGTTTGGACTCATACGATTAACAAAAAAAGAAGGAAGTTTGGAGAATTTTACCATCTTTTTCCAGATTTAATAAAAGACAAAATCATTTTTTTCAGTATTACAAAATATAAAGGAAACATTTTACGCACTCCTCAATTGAGGGTTTTAGAAGAAAAAACACCGGGTATATCTACTCATCATATTTTTTCAGAAGAGACAAATTACTAATATTTTTGATAATTCTTATTTATTCTGATGTGTATATTAGTTATGTGGTCAAAAAAACCCTGATCTTTTTTATATATTTAGGTAATTAGAATTTAAAAATTGGAGATTGTCACTTTTGTTAAAAAGTGGAGATTGCCAGTTTTGCCTCTACACCCCTCAATTATATTAAATCTTTGATAGAAAGGCATTTCGTCCATCTGTCTCTAGTGAGGGAAGACTAAAAAAAATATCATATTCCTTTATGAAAATCGATTTGCCTAATTTACCTTTAAAAATACAATTCTGCCATTGATACATATCACTAGTTCCTAGTCAAAAAGCCAACTGAAAAGACTCGAATGCAAAATTATTTCCCTTGTGAGTACGCACACTGCAACGCGCCGAAACGCGGGAGACGGAAAAAAGTTGCTAGAGTGTCTTCCGACTTCTTGACGGAAATCCCGCGGCGCGCTTCTCCGCTGCGCGCTCTAATGTGCGTTGGTCCATTTAAGTACATGGCAAGCAGACAAAAGAAATTTCCACATGGCGCCGCGCCGCGTCGCGCTGCGTTCTAGTGGGCGACAACCTTAAATCACACGGCAGGCTAACTCTCTTTGGCGGGAACGCTACGCGCATACCGTCGCGCACGCCGCCATTAGGGTTTCCATCAAATACGTTTTAATAAAATATACGGAGAGTACCCAGAGATATGGAAGTGGGAGAATGAGCTTCGACGAGTGCGCATCCAAATTTTTGTCGACGGCAAGATGATGTCTGCCATCTTGCCAGGTCTCGCTGTCACTTCCCCTCTTTAATTGACATCGATTTGTTTTGTTTTGTTTTTCGTTTGTGTTGTTATCTATAATTATTATCTCAATTATTCTAAACACTAATTCAAAAAGGCTTGTTGTATATTCATAGTCATTCTAAGAAAGCTAATACGCCGGGAATAATGATTAGTTTTCATGTGTAAGTTTATACAACATAATCGTGTTTACAGATGATTCAAAACTGTTTATTTTTAGTTTTCCTAAAGGCGATTTGTAAAAATCGTGATTGTAATTGGGAATGGTCAAAAATAAGTGTATGATGTGGCCATTTAAAGAGGATGTTTTTATTACGTGTGGAGGAAGAAGATACTTGGAATCTGTAAAACAGTGCACTCTTATAGTGTCCATGAAAGCACAAGTTCAAGTGACCAGAAATATATCAAATAAGATTGGTCCTTACTTGACAAGAAGATTATTTGGAGGAAAAGAAAACATAAGATAGGGTATTTTAATCGAACAGCGAAAATTTAACACTTTTATTGTAAAGTTTATTGTAGGTAGTTGTAGTTTTGTGCTAAATATTTCTAACATTAGCAGCGGCTGTGTTCAGAGTGTCAAGAGGAGGAGAATTCAGTTAATTAGATTTATGCACAGTTACAGGTATGAAGGCTTTTTCAAACATAGTATCGAGTTCTATAGTCAACATTTTTAGTATTCCTACAACTGTAAAAACAAGGAACATTGGACTGGAAAAATGGCAAGATTTATATAGAAAGAAAGGGTATTATGCCATAAGAAAATTAAATCTGTAGGCAGAAGTTTCTTATTTAAAAACTGTTATGGGGCATATATTAATTTGTATCTGTGCCACAAATCACTGAGAAAAATCATATAATATTCATAATTGTTAACGAGATGATATTTAAAGAGTGTTAAAAATGAGACTATTAGTCATGAAGCTTACAGTGTTACTTTGTTTCAATATTACACTTTTATTCTTGTAAAATCTATGATGAAGTTCAAAAGCATTTTGCAATGGCCTTAAATTGTGAGTTGTGAGCCAGGATTTATAGTAAAGGTATTTGATGCAATGAAACTTAATCGGTACCTTCCAGTATGTATTTTAGTAAGGGGATTGTCAATCCCATGTTTTTAAATAGATAAAATACAGGCCAAAGTTGACAATATTACAGTTGAGAAGAAACTATTTTATCTTAAAAAAAAATTTCTTAAAATTCTGAGATCATATAATCTAATTTTCTTAATAATAAATTAGGTATATGTACATACAGAATTTTGTTATGGACAAATAAGGATC